CCAGAAGATCGACCCAAAACTGCTTTCTGTATTCCAAATGCCCAATACCAATGGACTGTCATGCCATTTGGGCTTAAGGTTGCCCCATCACTATTCCAAAAGGCCATGACCAGAATCTTTGAACCTATGCTTGATAACCTCCTCATTTACATTGATGACCTTTTACTTTTCTCAAAAGATGAGGACTCCCATAAACTTTTATTGACCCAGTTCGGGGAAATAATTGAAAAATACGGGATTATGTTGTCGGCAAAGAAAGGTGAAATAGGTGTCAACAGCATAGAATTTCTTGGAATGCATTTTGAAAATGGTCAGTATTATCCTGGACCACACATTGCAGAAGAATTACTCAAATTCCCAGACGATAATCTCACCACAAAGCAAATCCAACAATTTCTGGGGATTATTAATTATCTTCGGGATTTTATCCCTCATGTGTCAAATCATACCAGCCAGCTGTCCAAACTTCTCAAAAAGAATCCTCCCGCGTGGGGGACAGAGCAGACCTCAGCTGTCAAGACCCTCAAAAGAATTGCACAGCAACCACCTCCTTTAAAGATCCCTGACAGAGGATTACGAATCCTCCAGACTGATGCTAGTGATGACTTTTGGGGAGCTGTCTTAATTGAAGAGATAGATGGAAAGAGATTTTACTGTGGACATGCAAGCGGACAATTCAAGGAGTCAGAAAAGCATTATCATGCTACCTACAAGGAGATCCTTGCTGTCAAAAGAGGAATCGAGAAGTTCAGCTTCCATCTCAGTCCTTATCAATTCAGAGTAGAAATGGACAATACGTCTTTTCCAAGAATGCTTGATCCCAAGGGAAAGACCTTGCCAGACAGCCAGTTACTCCGATGGAAAGACTGGTTCTCTCGCTATAAATTCACCGTTCATCATCTCAAAGGACACCAGAACATCATAGCAGATTTCCTCACAAGACCTCAGAAAGTTTCCCAGCCTCCAAAACTCCTGTCACTCTCCAGACCTCAACCTCTTTTCATCCTAACCATCTCTGAACCAGAAATGCCTCACAGAATGAGAGCCACCATTTTCCCTCCTGGATCCCGTCCTGAATCTCCAGCAGATGTCCAAAACCTTGCCAGAAGTACTATGTTCTACTGGCTCCACCGTGTTTTTGTAGATACTGGAATCCACCCTTATCCTCAGCACTTTGATGCCGATGCTCCTTACCTCACTGTTCCCATTATCAAAGGACCCATACCAGAAGAACTTTTATGGTACATCTGGTCTGTCTCAGCCAATTATACCTGTGCCATAGCCTTCTCAGCTGTAGTCGTCCATGACCACCTGAATGACATCAGAAATGAAAACTCTCCTCTTACCACACTCTTTGAGATGATAGCTCCTCTTCCCTACTGGAGAGGAAAACTCTGGAAAATTCTCAAAGAACATAATATTTGGGACTTACCAACTCCCAAACAAAAAAGGTTTTTCTGTCTGTATACCTTTTTCAGGAACTATGGAATAAGTGCTAACCAGAGGCTCTACACAGACAACCGTCTGATCCTCCAGGTCACCACCCCCTCATGGCCAAGAAGGGAAGCATTGCTAATGGAAAAAATTGGAAAGACATTAACTGCACTTAACCAGCCTGACACGGGAGAAGACACTTCATGTCTATCTCTTGGACCTTTCCCTCCAAACTCACCATCTGCCAGCAACACAACACTTGAAGAATTCCAGAGAGATTTCATCCTGAGTGCTGTCAGACCTCCACCAAATAGGTCACAAGTCCCTCCACCGACAGAAGCCACCGAAGACCCTTATGACGGTGACAACGACTCACAAATTCAACTCACTCAGCCTGAAGGACTCTATCTCCCTCAGCCAAGTTTCCAGCCACAACTCCCATTCCTTGCAGGGGAATCCCAGGATCCTAACCAAGAAGACCCTGATCCAGAACTCGAAGACTACTACTACTCAAGAAGCTCAAGGAGACACTATGACTCAGATGACCCTGACCCAGAAGGCATCATGAACCTATCCCCTAGCCACGAGCCTATCTATAAAGACTAGGGAACATCATCATCAGAAAATCTCCTTTTGGGATACTCTGAAGATAATGCGGGACCCGCCAGAATCCTACTTTATGTCGCTATCTACTTTTACTTTATTAAAGTAGTTTGTCCTGTAGTCTATTTCGTCCTCTTGTAATAAGTGGAGTAGTTGCCATTATTAGGTGTCATTATGAGAGTAGTTGGTAGTTAGTAGTTGTGATTATTAAATGTCAAGTCATAATGACGTTTACTATTACATCTACCCGTCATAATGAGGTGTACTATTAGGACTTTGTCATGTAGTGCCCCGAGCGTCTATATAAACCCCACTCTGCCATCAGTTACAGGCAGAAGGAGTTGTATCGACTTCCTTGTATAATACTAGTGTGCTTTCCTCATGAGTTCTCTCTAAATTTCTCTCTTCTTCTGAAAGCCTCACTTATGATATCTTTCTTCTGTCGCCAGAGATTCTAAGTATGCTCTGCACTTGCCTCTTTAAGAGGATCCTGTGCATCAGAAAATAGAATCCGACCACGATCCATGAAGGAGTGTTTGGTGACAATCTTTCCAGTTATCCTAGATTGGTATTCAAAGCTGAGAGTCCTAACGTGGCCCGTTGATGAGTTGAGAATGAGTGGCCTTACCTGGACTGAAGCCTTGGATATCAGACTATGTTAGCTTGGTCCGATTCAGCTAACACCCCCGAGTAAAATTGTAATTTTTTTTTTAAAAAAAAGAAAGCAGGCCAACCTAAGGTAGAGCGACCCAAGTTTTTCAGCATGCTTCAAACGGAGCTGCCATCTTGCCAATCTAACTCATATTTTTTCATGGGTCGAATTAGTGTGCGCAAGTCATATCACCAACTTTAGTCATATTAACTAATAAGGTTATGTGTAGTAGAAGGAATTAGCCTCTTATAATATACTCTTCTGTCTAATTGTGAAGTCAGTTTTGATCCTAAATATAAGACCTATTTCTTATATCTATCAAATTTTCCCAAATCACCCCTATTGTTACTCCCTCAACCATAACTAAGCATGAGAAGGAGGGAGGATATGATGAAGATGATTAAAGTATTTCAAGAAAAACATGTCATATTTATTATAGTTAACTAACTTACATAACTTCTTTAATCTAATCAAATTAGTTAAATAGATCCTATATTAAGAACCAGATGACTAACACATTAAGATTTGCATCATTGCTGGATTGCCCCTCTCATTTACAACTAAGATGCTGAAAACTAGATCCATCAAGATACTAGGTAGAGTCAATGAGTCAAACTAGAATTAATTTGGGGTCAAAATGGTGAGAAATAAAAAAAATTTAAATTATTTTTAAATTTTTATCATATCATCCAAAAACTAAATATCATTTATGTGCCTTGAATTACTAATAAAATAATTATATACTTACAATTTCTTTTCAACTTTTTTTTTTTACAATTCTCTGGACAAATCGAATCATAATATCATACTACAAAAATTATTAAATATTTATACTAGCAAAATATCAAAATGAATACTAGATGATAACAAAACCTTCTTCCCAATAATCATTCAATCACTAAATAATAGTAATTATCAACAACTTTTAAAATAGAAAACAATTTTGATCAAAATAGCTTTTTTTATTTAAAAACAAAGAGGCAATTGGGTTAACTTAGCCAATCAGTCGGGCTAACTGGGGTTATTCCCAGGTCATACCTAATCAATTTAATCTTGACTTTTATACTCGACCGAACCAATTACGTGTCTAGTTCAGTAGTTTTTTGACTGAATTGGTAAGTCCGGTTTGGATTTTAAGAGGGTGTTTGGGAAACCACAAAAGTGCTTCTTAAAAATATTTTTTCGTAAATCGAGACAAATTCCTTTATATATTTACTTCGTATACCGTAAAATTACTTTTAAAACTACGGTTTCGTTTCCATTCAAATACCTCCTAAATCTGTATTCACAATAGTTCTTTGTGAGTTGTGGAGAGGACCTAATGAATCCTTTTATAGAGGAGTATCATGTAAACTAACTAATAGTAATAGTAATAAATAAAACTTTATTAAATTTTAATACAGAATTAATGAAATTTAAATTAATTTTATTTTAAAGGAACATGCAATTTTGAAGAGAAAGTATTTTAGATAGGACTGTACTTAGATCAAGTTTATTATATTTATTATATTAAATTTTTTAATTATACATGCTCATGTGTAAGTATTATTATTTAATAATATTTAATTATAAATTTATATGAAAAAAATAAAATGCATAGCTAGGTGTGATTAGAAAACTTAACTTAGTAATTAGATGTTGAGATATTTTTTTAATTAGATATTAGATACTATAAATTGCATCCGTACTAGTGTACTACAATTGGCGTGTGCTAGCTACTGTCCTTCAACAGTAGCTAGCAAACAGATGCTGACTTTTGTACCTGTTTTCCTTTTGTCACCAATTCTAAATAGGGAACCAGTTTCGGTGCTTTGATGAGCACCATAAGCTCATCAAATCTGAACCGTCTATATTTGATTTGAACGGTCCAGATTTAAAATCTTTAATTAACTATTTTTAAATAGAGAAAATTATTTTTTTGAAAGAATAATAGTTAAGAAATCATTACTATTTTAGATTCTATACATATTAAAATAATTATTTTAACTAAATAAAAATAAAAAGGAAATCAAATCTAAACCATTAAAATGAGATATGAATTATTCAAATCCGATGAGCTTATAGTGCTCATCATAGGGAAGAGCACTGAAACTGGTTCCTTCAAATAGACGTGTGCTAGCTACTGTCCTTCAACAGTAAACTGACTTTCCCACTTCCCACAACGACTTTCTCTTTTTTCCTCCCTCCTTCTCTGACTTTTCCTTCTTCGTTAAGTCTTCTTCATGATTCCTTACTTCACCTTTATTCTTCACATCTCTCTGCAGAATTAACCTCATCACAGTGCGAAAACAAGAAGGAAAAAAAAAAAAAAAATCAGCTCCGATCCAACATGGCTTCTTTCTGGTTCCTCACACTCCTTCTTAAATGCATTGATTTTCTTTCATGGTATGCATCTCTTGTATATCCCTCCTTTGCTTCTTTTCTATGGCTGCACATTTTCTTCTTCTGATCAGATTCCATAATCTGTAATCTTTGCCCGTATGTTCACATTATTCGTTCGATGTCCTAAGCACTCAATGGTCTCCCTCTTTAACTATGAAAAGTTAGAAAATGGGTCTGGGTCTATCAAACCCTCTTTTTCTCCTCACGCTTTTTGATTACTGATTCTGTGTTGTTCTCATTTACAGGCCCGTGCTTGCTTTGGGTTATCCTCTGTAAGTGTCTCTCTGACTCTGTTTTGGTGCAACTCTGAAAAAGCGTTCTTGCATTTATCATAATTCTATGTTTCCTTTAAACTATTATTGTTTCAGTGATAGTGATGCTGTTTTTGTTGTTTATGAATTACGATGATGGTGTTTTTATGGTCAAAGTTATGCTTCCATTGAAGCAATTGAGCATGATAGCCATTCGGACACTCGGAATTTGATCTCTTATTGGATTCTTCTCTCACTGATATACCTCTTTGAGTATCCTTTCCTCAAGCTTCTTCAATGGTAAACCATTTACTCTCTCTCATTTAACAAAAACACATGGCCATTGAACTGAACAAAATGGTTGCTGTTCTTCCTTTTATCATATTTTACTAATTGGATCATATCATCTGCAGTTAAAATTGCATGAACTGTGATATCAGATTCATTCAGGTTCTGAACCAATCTTACTTTTCCATCCTCATTTTCAACATCAGGTTTCAGTATTGGCATTACATGAAGCTAATCATGGTCGCCTTCTTTGTGATTCCGGATTTTGGAAGATCTGCTTATGTCTATAATCACTTCGTTCAATCATGCATCCACATGAATCCTCAAGCAGTCATAAGCAGATTCAGGAACTGGAAGAACATATTTGTCAAGAAAGAAGACTTTACAATGCAGGCTGAGAAGTATATAACACGAAATGGAACTGAAGTCTTAGAGCAACTCATTGCTAGCAAGGTATGAAAATCGCCATATATATATATCACGTGCTATTCATTAGCTGCTTATAGTGTATATCGTTTTTCAGACTCTATGCAATGCATGGAACTACATCTGGCTGTTATTAAGATTTTCATCTTAGGTATGGCTGTCAAAAGTGTTCATGGAAAGCAGACATTTCAGTAGTTTATAAAAGCTAACAAAGCTAAAAGTGATGTGGTTTGAAGGGGGTTTGTCCTATGCCTCTTTTTAATTGCGATGCTTAGGTTGTACGGATGCTGGTATACCGAAACACTGGCATCTTAGATACCACCTGAAGTTCGAGATGCCTGAGTTGAAAATAGTACACCAAATGGTTTCTTTAAAGGGATGCATGCTGGTTTTAATGTATAGATAGCTTGTTTGAGTTCAGAAGTACCCACCACCAATCTCATTCAAGTTGCTTACTTGTTTTGTGATTCTTGACTACTGAATAATCATCTTCTTTTATTGTAGAACATAGAGAAAAGTCTCAATGCAGAAACAAGAAAATCAGTTCCAACTGCGGAGAAGAATGAGATCCTGAAGGCGAATTTTTATGTGAATCTTGATGGATGTGTGGGTTGAGTTCGGTCCCTCTTTCATTTGAGTTGCCTACGTATTTTATATTTATGTGAATCCTGATCACTGAAGAATTAAGCCAATGAACCTTTTCTTCTATAAAGGACCACAGCAGAAAGTCTTAATACCGAACCAATAAGAACAGTTCCAACCACCAGGAAGAATGAAATGGAACAGATGAATTTCTTATGCAATTCTTGCCCTTTTATAGCCAGCTTCAAACATGAAAGAACTGAAACCTTTTCTGGGTTGGAGTATTTCATACATGAAGGAGCTTATCGTCCAACCTTATTGTCTTTGTGCAGACAAATGGAGGAAGGCTTCTCATGGAACAGAAAGACGCCAAAGATTTGGAGATGATTGAAAAAGAGCAAGTTCCTGAAGGCAAGCAAGTAAGATTTCATACCATTTTCAAGTAAAAAGGGGAAAAGAACAGCGCCCCCCCCCCCTTCCAAAAAAAAAAAACTAAGTCATGCTAAAGTTGGTTATTTGCAAATAGCCTAGGTCTGATAATACTTACATTTGTTGTGAGTTTTTTCCAGTTTCCTTGTGATTGCCAGAAAAGAAGCTAGGGAATTAAAAAAACAGCAGAGAACAAAGTTGATTATTTTCGCTAATCTATACCTCAATGCCAAGTTTTCAACATTTCAGGTTAATAGCGCCTTGGAAAGACTCAAATCAAATGAAAGCATTTTATCTGCCATGGCGAAAACCGAAAAAATGGCAGCAGACACCGAACATGGAACATATAATCCTCAGATTTCTGCATCTGAGAATGTACAGAAAGAATGGACTTGTGCCATATGCCAGCTGACAATGCCTTCTGAAGCTAATTTGAATTCCCACCTGCAAGGAAGAAAGCATAAGGCTGCTTGTGAAGCACTGAATACAAAAACTAAAGGAATGCCGGTGATAGACACAGGAAGAGGAGCATCTTCTCAGGTTTCTGCATGTAAAGATGTACAGACGATGTGGACTTGTAAAATATGTCAATTGAGAATATTTTCTGAAGCTAGTTTGAATTCCCACCTGCAAGGAAGAAAGCATATGGCTGCTTGTGAAGCACTGAACGGGAAAACTAAAGGAACCGAAGTGACAGACACAGGAAGTGGAGCATCTTCTCAGGTTTCTGCATCTAAAGATGTACAGAAAATGTGGACTTGTAAAATATGTCAATTGAAAATATATTCTGAAGGTAGTTTGAATTCCCACCTGAAAGGAAAGAAGCATAAGGCTGCTTGTGAAGCACTGAACGCAAAAAGCCAGCTTGTTGCTGAGAAAGTTCCGGTGAAGAAGAATGATGAGTCCACTGGAGAAGAGGAGATGATAATCTATACGCCAAGTGCATTAGAACAGAATACCACAAACAGTCATCATCCAAAAATGGAGCATAAGAATGTTGAAACTATCAATATTAGTCAGCAGAATAAAAACAAAGACGTTGATGCCAATACCACCAAGGTGCAAGAATTGCAGAAGGACGTAGGAACATCGATTGGAATGAACAGTTCCAGATTAAGATGTGATATGTGCAATGTAAAATGCACTAGTGTAGGTGACTTGGCTTCTCACTTGCAAGGTAGCAAGCACTTGGCTCAAATTCAATTACTTACTGCCCATGGGCAATGGCCTTGTAGTCTAGTCATATAAAAGCTCCCTTGTAAGTAGGAGGTTGTGGGTTCAATTCCGTTTAACCTCAAGTAGTTGGTGTCAACTTCTCTAATTCAAAAAAAAAAAGGGTCAATTACTTAGTGGTCCAAGCTAGTAAATGAGTCTTCTGCTTTAGAAGTAAATGTATGTGTTCATGTAGGACATGCCATTAAGTTTTGATTATAATATGTACGTTTTGAAGTTTAAGCCCGTGTGCCAAAGGTTGTTTGGGGTTAGAACTTGATTATTATACTGAGATTTGTAGCGATGGGGAGAATTTGAAACCCAATGTGTCATTGCAAAGACAGATTATGAAATGAATATATACTTGCTATTTATCTTGCTTTGTCCCTTGAGCAGCCCATCATCTTATTAGCGCGGCATTCTCATGGTATGTATAATGAGAATGCGGATTCAATTAGGCTTATAAGTTTATATTTGTTTCATATTAATAAAATTGTTGTTGTTCTCAAACTTCATATATATATATATATGTATATTTATGCACTCTTTCGTTTTGAAGGTACTCTTAATAGATTATTAGCTGTTAATTGTAGAGGCAGGGCGGGTTGGAAGGGTAGGCCAAACCAAAATCAACCCATCTTCTGGTGAGATGAAAATTTCCAACCTCCCGCTATAGGCCCATCCACTTCTCCCTTCTTCTTCTTCCTTTTTTTTTTTTTTTTTTTAAAAACCCATAATTTTTTAATTAAATTACAAATTTTTATAATCTAAATTCAAATTGTTATATATTTTCATAAAGTTATATGATTAAATTATCCCAAAACTTACAAATATGAAGATACAATAATACCGCACATAATTATTCGATCCGTATAAAAATTATATAATAAAAAATTGACAAATTGAACATCAAATCATGTTATTGACATAAAAAAGAATATATGAAAAATAAGTTCAAAACGATAACTTTTCATTCAAATTGACATAAACAACAAAAAATTGTAATTTTTTTTTTAAAAGAAAAGCAGGCCAACCTAAGGTAGAGCGACCCAAGTTTTTCAGCATGCTTCAAACGGAGCTGCCATCTTGCCAATCTAACTCATATTTTTTCATGGGTCGAATTAGTTTGCGCAAGTCATATCATCAACTTTAGTCATATTAACTAATAAGGTTATGCGTAGTAGAAGGAATTAGCCTCTTATAATATACTCTTCTGTTTCTTAATATATGATCTAATTGTGAAGTTAGTTTTGATTCTAAATATAAGACCTATTTTTTATGTCTATCAATTTTTTCCAAATCACCCCTATTGTTACTCCCTCAACCATAACTAAATATGAGAAGGAATGAGGATATAATGAAGATGATTAAGGTATTTTAGGAAAAACATGTCATATTTATTATAGTTAATTAGCTTATAATCTAATTAAATTAGTTAAATAGATCTTATATTAAGGACCGGATGACTAACAAATTAAGATTTGCATCATTGCTGGATTGTCTTCAATAACAAGATACATGTACTGAGAAAAAAAAAGTCTTAATTTTATTACTTGTGTATCACACAAGTATTGGTTATGTCGTAACGACAAATCATGATTGCAGAACGGAAAGAACAAATGAGTCCAATTTTTTTCTTTTAAAAAGTTTAGAAATTTAAAAATAAAAAAGTTAAAAATTATTAAATGCAAATAAGAAATATCAAATATGAACAAAAATTGTCTTTACATTACATATACCCGACTCCATGCGGGCCCACGAGATGAGCAAAGCCCCACTTGCCACTTGCCCCCTTGCCGCCAACCCTAATAGCTCCTCCTTGACTTTTCGCTCTTCCCACGCGGACTTTATTCTCCCTCCTCTCCGCCGTTTCCTTCTCCGTCAAGTCTTCTTCACAACTCTCTCGCGATTCAACCTCCCCACAATAGCAGAAAATATTGCTTCAATCTCACATGGCTTCTTTGTGGCTTCTCATACACCTCCTTAAATGCATTGATTTTCTTTCATGGTATGTACGTTTGCGTTTATATATTCTTGTATATGATGTCTCCCTTGGTCGATTTCTAAGGATGCGACATTTCTGCTTCTGATCACATTTGATCATTTGTTGTAACTTTTGCCCTTCACATTAGCAGTTCAACGTTCTAAATACTAAACGATCTCTGTGCCTATGGAAAGTTAAAGTGGATCTATTTGACAAGCTTTGTTTCCTTTCACTCTTTATATTACTGACTCTGTGTTGTTTGTATGTATAGGCCCGTTCTTGCTCTGGGTTATCCTCTGTAAGTCTCTCCCTCCCTCTCTCGTTCGCTCAGTGTGTGTGGGTGTGTGTGTGTGTTCTAGTATTTAAAAAAACACGATCAGCTAATGGAGAGTATTAAATAAGCGTTTTAGATATATTCAAATATATTTTTCTGTGGAGTTTCTGTTCTGACATGATTATTTTATTTTTCAGTTTGGTTCGGTCTATCTATTTTCTTTAAACCCAGTCTGCTTAAAAATCTTTCAAGTACTTAATGTATTCTCTAATAAAAGTTATAACATATGGACAGGTTTATCATTTATTGACTTCTGAAGATGCTCATGCTTTTTGTCGTAATTATACCTGGCAATCCAATAGCATATTCCCAAAAAAAAAAAAAAAAGCACCGACGTTTTCCCTTCGAACCGTTATTTCACTGATAGTTATGCTGTTTTGATTGCTTATGATGGTGGTGTGACGTGGTTGAAGATGTGCTTCCGTCCGAGCAATTGAGAATGATAACAATTCAGACACTCGGAATTTGATCTCTTATTGGATCCTTCTCTCATTGATATACCTCTTCGACTATGCTTTTCTGAAGCTTCTCCAATGGTAAATTCTCTGTTCTGTATCTTTTGCTAAAAAGCTACATACATACAATATAGGGAATGACTAATGACACTTTGGACAAAAGGAACAAACTAATGTCATGAAGCTAATGATCGTTACTTGCGTCCTCATGTTCAATATCAGGTTTCAGTATTGGTATTACATGAAGCTAATGATCGTTGTTTGCCTTGTGATACCGGACTTTGGAAGATCTTCTCATGTATACAATCAGCTCATTCGGTCGTGCATCTACATGAATCCCCGTGTAGCCATAAGAAAATTCAGGAACTGGAAAAGGGTCTTTGTGGAGAAAGAAGACTTTCTAATGCTGGCTGAGAAATATATAACAGAGAATGGAACTGGGGCCTTAGAGAAACTCATTGCTTGCAAGGTAAAAAAAAAAAAAAACACCACATATATTAGGTGTATACATGGATACGAGTGCAAAGGCTAAAGGTATTCTCTGCTGTAACATAGGGTTAGATGTTTGGTGCATTGTTATTTCATATTTTTTGTGTTAGGTATGACAATAGAAAGTTTTCGAGAAAATCGTACTATTGGTATTTTATATTACAAAAGATAACACAGCTAAAAGTGGTATGATTTGAACGTGTGTCTTTCTATGCCTCTTGTTATTTTGGGAAGTAGCATACTATAACATTGCAGATCCCACCTAAAAATGCTTCAGGAAAGCCAGTTTTTGTGGTCTATATATGCATAATTCTGATTTATGTATAAATGGGTTGTTTGAATTAAACATTGCCCACCACCAGTCACTCAATTTGCGTACGTGATTTGTAAATCTTGATTACTGAATAGCTGAGGCAATTATTCTTTCCTTCTACTATAGAACACACAGCAAAACCTTGAAGTTGAAGCGAAAAAGGCCGCTCCAACTGCAGAGAAGAATGACACGCAGCAGGTGAATTTTTCATTTGATTCTTGTCACGCATTTATATCCTGTAAAACATAACAGAAAGAGGTGTTTGTAAAATGCTGTCATGTTATGCATCTTATATGTCACTCAAAATTCGAGATGCTTGGGTTAAAATGGTTATATCAAATCCACTCTCAAATGTGTTTTAGGAAAGCAAGGGATGCTCACTTTATTCTATAAATGTGCGGTTTGAGTTCAATTGTACTCACTACCCCGTTCACTTAAATTGCCTAATATCCTTTTCTTATATTGAAGAACACAGCACAAAATCTTGACACGGGAACGGAAAAAACGGTTCGTACCATAGAGAAGAGTGAAGCACAGCAGGTGAATTTCTCATGCAATTCTTCTTGTGTTATTGCCAGTTTTAAACATGAAAGAGATGAAACTTTTTTTTTCCCGGCTGATATTATATCTCTTTTAGTTGACACAAAACCATGAAAGATCGTTTATAATCTTGTGAAGGAGCGTATCTTCCAACCTTATTGTCCTTGCGCAGACAAATAAAGTAAGGCTTCCCTTGGAACAGAAAGACATAAAAGACTTGGAGATGATTGAAAAAGAGGAAATCCCCAATGGCAAGCCAGTAAGATTTCTTATCATTTTCAACTAAAAGAAACAGGGTTGGTTTTCCCTATGGAACCGCTATGTATCTTTTTACTCCAACTCATGCTAAAGCTGGTTATTTGCAAATATATTAGGTTTCTTTATACTTATAGTTGATGGGATTTTTTACCGTCCCTTTGATTGCCTGAAAAATAATAGAAATAAGTGGAAACCAAGTGATAACGAACAGCTAACAAATCTTATTGGGGGGGAAAACAGGACATGATCAGCTCATGAGTGATTAGCAAAAGGTTTTAAATTCAATGCTCTGCTAAGTACTCTCTAAGTGAGAGAGAAGTCGTGAGGAGTGTGAGTAATTAGCAAGAAGCTTTATAACACTAATGACTTTTGCTAAAATTACATAAACCTTCTTTTTGCTGTCAAAATTTACACACATTTTCCCTGAAACAGAGAGTGAATTATATAGATTTTTCTTGGATTTTTGATGTTACATGAACCTCTAATTTATTTTCAAAATGTGCAAAAACCCTTTCAAAGGAGAAGAGACCTTTATATAATTTTTGCAAAAATTAGAGCTCAAGAGCTTTGTGTGTTTTATCTTTTTATTTTATTTAGTTTTTAAGAGAAGTCTATATAGATTTTGGAATGAGAAGAAAAGTCTATACAATTAACTACAGCAAAACTAGGGAGGCTGTGTAATTCACTCTTGTGTATGTGTATCTAGCTTAAAAAGTGTACTTGGTGATGAATTTCTTTTTTCTTGTACGCATGAGTAACCAACGCTCAGTTTAAAAACTACAACGAGAAAAGGCTGAGGTTTCACTTGATTCATTTTTTTTACTTCCTGAGAAGTTAACTTCCCCATAAGTATATTTAATGCATAGAAAACCAAACCTTTAGCATGCGGAAGGGTTGAACACAGTGAACCTCATAAGGGAATGTTTGTGATAATCCATATCGGTCCATTTGTCAATGGATTTGTATGCGTCAAGTGTTGTAGACATTTCCTTACTTGGGTTCACTGTGTTCAACCCTTCTACACATCAGATGTTTGATTTTCCGCACCACTATGATTACAGCCCTTTCACACTTCCTAGCCCAGGAAGTATACTTATTCGCTTAAAATGTGTTTGCTTTCTATCTTATCAGTTTGTTTGTTTCTTTTTTTCCCCTCCAGATCTTCACCTTTATGCCACAGACTAATACAGCGTGTGCAGCCCCAGATCAAATAAGATCTCCTTATCTAACATATCAAAAACTGAAGGAATGGTGGCAAAATACACAGAAGGTCGAGCATCTCCTCATATTTCTTCATCTAATGAATTTCAGAAAGAGTGGACTTGTGCCATATGCCAGGTGAGAACAACTTCCGAGGCTGACTTGAATTGTCACTTGCACGGGAGGTTGCATAAGGCTGCGTGCGAAGCACTGAAAGCGAAAAACCAGTCTGTTGCTGTGGAAGTTTCTGTGAAGAAAAATGAGACGTCAGGTGGAGAACCAGAGAAGATGATCAATACTTCGAATTCATCAGAACAGAAGATCACAACCTGTCATCATCCAAAAATAGAGCAGAAGAATGTTAAAACTGTAAATGTGCGAAAATATTGTTATAGGCCAAAGAGGACGATAGATCAAGAAAACACGGGCAAAATTGTTCATGTCATTCCCAAGGTGCAAGAATTGCAGAACTCTGAAACACCAGTACTTAAGTTTAAGTGAACAACTCCAGATTCAGATATGATATGTGCGGTGTAAATTGCAGTAGGGAAGTTGACATTACTTCTCACTTGAAGGGTAGGAGGTTCAGTTTGGTCCTAGTTAGTCAACGAGTCATCTGCTTCAGATTTCTGCCTTTTGCTGTAAGTACCGATGTTGAGGTTATATAGGTCTGCCCATAGACATTGTGTGAAGATTGAAAGTACATGTTACATGGGATTATGTTCTCATTATAACATCTACCTTAAAAACACGCCTCTCATTTTCTTTTTCTCTTTCTTTAGGCCTGCATGTCCCTCATGTTGTTTCTATTTTAACTAGAGCATCAAACAGTGAGAAGACTAGAACTAATTTCGTAGCTAGACATATTATGACTTTTTTCAAAAAAACTTTTACCGTAATAAAATGTATATAGTATGAAAATCCGAACATGCTATGCTATTTATGAACTATGAATAGTATCACTTATTTTTCAGGCTCTATATAATATATTATCTCAAACAACAACAATATCAAGAAGCCTTATTTTATTAGGTGAGATTGAAAATAAAATATAATAATTCTTTTAATAGTCCTCTTGTAATATTAATTATTTTTACGGTTGCTTTCAACTATAGACATGCAAAAAAAATTCAGAATTATATGAGGTGAAAATATGGAACCAGATTCTCTCCACTCCACTGCCTCAGGGTCCATTTCTCCTTCGCTGCCTAATCCGCGCCATTCCCTACAAGAAAGTGAGTTCTTCTCCATCAGAACTTTTATTGAATGGTATGGATTAGGCAGTGGAATGTAAGTGAGCCATAAAACAACGAAGAGAATCCAATTCCGTGAAAATACCATTTTCTTTCTTGAAGGGACCAGTCTACCGGCTAAGAACCCCACAACGTGAAAATCAGAATGTTTTTTTTTTTTGAACTTTTTCACCACAGAAATACCCCGTGTCATTATTAGCACCTCTTTAAAGAAAGTTTCTTCCCCTACAACTTTTTAATTTATAAAGCTTTAGTGGCATTGGCTATTGATCTGTTGTAGCCTTTTTTATAAACAAAAAAATGGCAAGCTGCTTTAAGGTTTTTCTATTAAAAAACACATGCCCATTAAATTAAGAAAACATTTTATTGACCAAATATGTTTTTTTTTTTTTTTGCCGACTGACCAAATATGTTTTCTACAAGACTGTCACCGATTTTCTCATTAAATATTTTCAGATAGAGTTAAATCGCCGAATAAGAAGGGTAAGGTTATATAGCTTTTAAAATCGTATGGATTTTAGGCATAGCTATAACTCCTCTTTAAAAGGTGAGGTGAGCCGTTACACATCATCTTACCTAACCCAAACTCACCATCACACTCTTCTTTTTAAAACTTTTCAAAACTCAACTATTATATCTTTCTCCCCTGTTCATGTTTTCTGATGTCTCTGTCTAGCCTCACAACTTTAACAAGGGTTTTTGTTGGAAGTTTTTTTTTTTTAAAAAAAGAAAGAAAGATAGGTATTAACGGCTTAATGTTAGCCTACAAGGCAATTTTGCTTTGTTAAAAGTTGATCATAAACCTGTTTCTCTATAGAAAGTACTCAAATACAGCGATTAAATATGACACCAGAAAAGTATTCAAATAGATCCAAGACGAGTTGGTACGAACATTACAAGACAAGATATATAGAGTGCTTAAAGGAAAATTTGAAGTGCTATCCACATCCTGTACGAGTATTACAAATGCAAAGATGAACTCTTACTTGGCAACAAAATGAAAATACTACAAAGGGCTAAGACAAAAAGGGTGGCTGACTATTGGAATGTAGTGAAGCAACAAAATCCTGAGTCAAGACCCTGAAAATTGGTATCATAATCTCCAACAAGAGAAATTTTTAATTCACAGATTTACATTAAGAAATCAACTAAATGTAAATCACTATGTCCATTAGAGATGTAAATTAATTTCTCGCGTTTAAGAACTAAATCGAACCAAACTGAAACAATCCGATGTTTGCAAAGCATTGTCAGTTATCATCGTACAAGCATAAGATCCTTGAAATGCTTCACATTCACAATATTAAACTATCAATAGCAAATTGAACGCTAAGGTTAATCCATAATCACAGATAAATAAGAAAGAGACTATACACGTGTGTATCAGCCTTTGATATTATTAAAATTAGATTATGGATAACAAGTTAATTACAAATATACAATTTTGAAACAAAAGCGTATTAGAAGGGGAAAAACACGCGTGAAAGCGTTTCTGCAGAGCAAATTAGCAACGTTCAGAACTTACAATGTCTTCCTGTGAATCCATTTCAAGAGAGCTAATTAGTGAATCTGAACCATTTGGATCATCATCACCATCCTCAGCAGAAAGATCCAAAAAGTCCCCACAGTCATGGATCCTGTCCAGTTGATCTATTTCATCTTCACTTATAAGTTGGCTCAGTTTCTCCCTATAAATCCTCAATCGATCTTGTGACAGAACCCTCTCGGATTCCTGTTCCTTAATGATCAAACGCAGTGATTCAATGACATTTTGATCATACTCTTGTTTCTGCTCAACCACTCTACGGTATTGATTGGATTGGATCTCCACTGACTCTTCTCACTCTGAAGACGAAGAATCATGGCCATAGCTTCATCTGCTGCTGAGGATGATGCTGTTCTTTCCTTTTCAAGTTCTGCATAGGCTGTAATTGCTCGCTGCCTTTCAATCTTCACCAACTTCCTCAGAATCATTACGTCGAACACATCATCTTCATCAAGAACTTCTTTATCATGATCACCCTTCTCTTCCCCAAACCCGTGGGACTAACATCGCCGTTAAGATTATCTTTATCTTCCCCAACGCAAAAGTTGCTTTTGTTCGATGAGTTTGGATTCTGAGAGGATTTCAATGGGCTACACTTGAGAGACAGAATCTTAGAGTCAAATTCCTCACCAACGCTATTTTCCAGAGGTCGATTTCTGGTTTTTCCTCCGAATTCAAAAAGATAGCGAATCAAACCCCCAGAATGCCAACCGAGATGTAGGATCTTCATACAGAACCCGAAAATCAAATCATCCCAAAAACATTGAACACCCGAGAGAAGGACCCGAGAAGCAAAAACCCACATCCAATCTCACTGACCTGAGCAAAGAACTTCAAAGTGGAAGAAAAATCCATACAAACAACCCCAGAAAAATCCGAAGAAACCTGTGGTACAACTCGAGAACAGAGTAAGTAACAAACAACAGACAAAAACGACCCAGAGTCTGCATCTAGGGGTGAAAGATTTTGACAGAACACCCAATCTTAGCGTTAAAGAAAGAATGTAAGCGAAAAGAAGCAATTGCTAAGAAGTGAAAAAAAGGGACAAGGGCATATAGTGATGTGATTTTGCCTAGCGTTGTCACAACTCACAACCATAAA